TTAAAGATGATAGAAGAGCACAAGGAATAGGAAGACGGTCAGTCGCTGTGAGAAGGCGAGTAACTGAACAATTCCCGGCACCTCAATCGCCTTATCAGACATCAGCGCGTCGATATGATAGGGGTAATCTACTCCATAGATATAGCAGAAGATTTATTTTATTAGAGAGAAACCTTTGAATGGAAATGAGTCTAGTGATTAAGATTGCTTTGTAGAATTCCCTTCAATGGATGAGCCTCAAGGCAATTGACATCACATGAAGTAACTATTCCCTCCCAATTTAATAAATAAAATGTATGTAAGCACTCACACCGTATTCTGCCCATATGAATTGGCGTTCCACTCACAAAGGTTCAACAATTACTTGACATTGCATCTAAGCCACGGCGCGTATTGAGATGGTAGCCGAGAAAACGTGCAAATCAAGTCACCAATGCAATTTCTCGTAACCCCGCTTAATCACGTCAGATACTGCGAGCCAGAGACCACTGAAAACACTTCGATTAAAACTCTGCTTCGGCTTCAGTTTGATTCCCAGGGTGAATAATGTCCATAATATACTATTAGACGCTCAAGCTACGGACAGGTTACAAGGGAACAGTTGTTTCTATCACAACTCTGCTGAAAGTAACCTGATAATATATAAATAAATAGCAATAGAGATTAACAGTTTAGTACAAAAATGCCAATCTGTGTATTGATTTTGTCAAGTTAGAGAAATTCCTTCGAACTTCAATAGTATCTATAAGACCGATTCGGAAAACTACTAATCTTACACTGTGAATTATTAATCTATTTCTTGTTATCATATATATACTGTTATAAGTTTTTTCAATAAAAACGCGTTCCTCTGGCTATAATTCCATCATTTCAATAAAAAACTCACGAGCTTCCGAGTTATTGTTTTAGATGTCTTGCATCCCAACTCCCACAAACGTCGAATAGACCGTACAAACGTTAGCAACTGTTGCATTGTACGGGACCGAAAACACGAATTCTCGCTATTGCCATGCTCCAAAAAAAGTAATCTTTTTGTAGGAAAATCTCATTCAATTTTCCAATCATGTACCGATACAAATTTTAATTTATTATTCAAGTTTAGTTGAATATCAACATTGGTTTAATTGGAACCTCATGTCAGAGTTAATTTGGAAAATTTCGTAACTTTTGAAATTTCGGATAGAAATTTGTCCAATTTTGACAAGTCAGAGTTCCTTAACCAAGTTCTCAGAACGTTACATGTACATTGGAAGATTTTGCTCATATCTTTTTCGCAAAGGCCAAAAAATAGTTTTTTCTTCTCCAGCATGATTTTATTTTTGGAAAACGAAATTCCATTCTTATTTCAGAAATCCAGCCTGTAATTTTCTCGAGCAACAGTTAAAGGATACCCTTACCAAAAGCGACATGGGCTCAACACCGAAACAAATCCCACTCCCTGAAAATTTTCGAATCCGAATATTTGCAGAAAACGTCTGGGAATGCATCGACCAAGCAAAAAATTGCTGCAAATTTGGCTGAGAATTTTTGTGTCACGTACCACGGCGAACGTAAGGGCTAATGTCGGCCAAAAAGGACCTGGCATAAAGGCTTAAGTTTTCTCATACAAATTCAAATTTTTCCTACACCCGTTGAAGGCCGTTATTAGACGTCTATGAGAAGCTTGAGGTTAGGAATAAGGCGACTGCATGACCCATAATAGCAAACTTACGCAACGAAAAATAAACGTTCCACAAGATGTAAAATAGATCAAGATGGTCTATGTCATAGCTGCATAGACCACCGTTGGGTTGTTTAACTTGTACCATCAATCAACCCAAAGTTAATCATACCTATTGCGAATTATTCGAAGAAGCAGGAGTTTGATCTGTGACTTAATCCATCATCAACAAACGGATATTTAACATACGAAGCAATTATTTGCATGTATTTTGGGCAGCTGCTTTCACTAGACATGCAAAACACAATAGGCAACATAAATGTTGTCTTACCTTGTGTAGTGTATGTGTGCGAGGGAACTGCATTCTCTTAGGTAGTTGAGCGAGCGCCGGAGCTGCCGACTCGCGTAGATGTCACTTCTGCAAGACGATAAGTATTGTTCACTTTTCTACTAACGATTTTATAATTTAACAAAATCGAATATTTTATTAGAATTCTTTAATTTAAACTTTTTTAATAACAAAGTAGAGGATCAGTAAAATGATTGGTTTTATAAAAGCTTGACAAGTTTCCGGAGCATGAGATTTATAAAGTAATCGGTTCCGTTCGTTCTGTGAATTTTCGAAAATTTCACGCTATATTATAACGTTATGAACGTGACGCCGACACAATGTGGGACGTAAGATTAACATGTCGGCATCACACCGACTATATAGCACCGATTTTATAGATTAACATGTTGGCATCACACCGACTATATAGGTTAACATGTTGGCATCACACTATTCGTTCATTTTAGCAGCACACCATATTCGACCGCCCCAGCAGCGGCTACCGAGGGCACTGACTACATGCATGTACAAGGGAACAGCTGTGGCACATGTACGGTCAACACAGCTGTGCTGCTGCAGGTGTCACTTCCACTCTTGTTCTAGCTTCCAGCTCTTGACTTCCATAGAAATTAAAAGTAATTTAATTACTGGGGATCTAAGTCGTAGAAGTCTAAATGACGGGTATTTATATGGCAATCAGTTCTGGTAACAAGTAACCTTGAATATTCGATGACTTTGAAGTAATTCGCGCAACATAGAAGAATTTATTCAAGTCCCTTTCTTCTGATTTCGCTTAACTTTCCCCATCATCTAGCAAAATCACCGAAAATAATACTCACACTAATAATTTGGTTTGCTACTCGTCACAACGTAATCCAAAATTAAAATGACAATTTGTAGTAGCATCGATACGAGTACGCTGACGAAAAATCGAACTGCGATGATGTTCTCTTAAGTAAAGGAGAAAATTTTACTGCAATAAAAAAGAAAATATGATGCATAACCTAAGAATGTGGCTGGTGACTTAGTGTAACCTGATGTGTTAACACTCGTAAAATCCCACTGATAAGATAATCCGGCGTTGATCAAGGTAATCCCTAAAATTTTAGAACTCCAGTTTCGCCACCAAATCATCGCTACTGTTGTTATAGTTCTGCAACTGAAGTTATATGTAATTCTTAATAACCCATCGAATTTTCAATCAGCCTCCAGTTGCTATTGAGAGAAGTATTTGTGATGAAGAAATTGGTTTGAAGAAATTGTGAAAAGATTTGAATTTAATATTTTACTCCAGCCCCAGGTTTTGCAACGACTCGTTTTTTCCACCATGAAAAAATAGAATTTGTATCTTATTTAGCATACCAAAACGATAAGAATTGTGGACAAGCGCAAATATATATTGATTTATAAGTCGCACATTAGTATTCCACGTTTCCATCATTTATCGGCATCAATTTGTTTAAACTCATTCACGTTGAAGAAAATTTAACATTCTGATACTAACTCGAAATTAATATAAAACGTACAGATAACGCACAGCAGGGTATATAAATATACCACAAACGAAAAAGAACGGCTCCACCAGGCAGTTAAACATTGCTTTACAGTTCACGTGCTGAAAGGTTACTATTGCACTATTCAGTTCAACAATTAATAATCACAATAAAGATAAATTTATTCAAGTGCAGCAGTCGTTTATTCAGGTCCTCTATTTTACCTAAACAGTTCTGCAATGCTGTTCATATTTCAACCTCTGATTTGATGAAAATTATTTCAGCGTAGATTTACTCGTTTAAAACATAATGATCACCAATGTTCAGAAACTAAATGACAAAATCTAGCGCATTTTAAGGAAAATTTTTGGAAATTTAAATAGGAAAAATATAATCTAATAATCTTAGTTTGTACGAACAGCAACACAAACCGTTTGAGTAACTGGATTTACTGATGCACGAAAAACACGATGCTAATGAAATTCTAATAAGACCAAAATATTAAGCAATTGAAACTTTCAAAGGATTAAACTCGATGTAAGCAATAGAATTCCCGGAAGATAGGAATCAATATAGCATCATTCAATTGTAACTCACCTTTAGAATTCAACTATATCCAATATAGACAGAGTCTGGTTCTTAAATGAGATAACCTAACGTTGCATGCAACTGGCTGCGTTAACAGGAGTTTAGATAAGCCGCTGATTAGATTAGATGCAACACTTTTGACGCTTATATTTTGTCCTGCTCTCATGATTCATACGAGTACGTCTAACCATGCTAAACCGTATCTCTTCCATACTCGGAGCTAATGAACATTTAAATGGATAAAATTTCCCAAGCTTTTTGAAATTAGTTGACAAATACGAGCCATATTTCACTACGTACATTACCCTAGCGTCAGTCAAGCTGGTTATCTAATATTGCACAAGAGCGAAATTTTCAACAACGTTAATGTGTCAAAGCTTAGATTAATGTTACCCATTAATCAACTTCCTCTGAAACTCCAAGCAAGGTCAGCTTAATAACCTGTTATGGATGTGGAATATTAGGCGGTGTTTTGGCCAGCGATGACAAGCGATATAAATTTGGGTAGCATTAAACACTAGAAACTTTCAGGCAAAATTTTCATATTGATTCCCATAATTGCCTGTTCAAAGCAAACACGAATGTTGTTAATAAGCAAACGACTTAAATCACTGCAAAACAGGCAGTAGAAACAATATCTTTGCAGCAACCATAGGTTAAAACCGATTCCTGGCATTGAATTTATCAGCTTGCATCTAATGAACTGCATAATTTCTGAAGACGATAAGTTCGTTAAGCTACCTCGCCTACCTCGTGCTGTGTACACTGAAATAGTAGCAATTATTGCTTTGTAGTTCTGTCAGCCGGGGAATGCCACAAACTTTGTTCCAATACGCAATTAGCTTATCATTTTAGAACTAACGATACATTTTCGATATCTAAAACAATATACGAAACGGAATTGCGAAGGAACGCTATCTAAACTTACCTCGAGGAGTTCAGCTTGGATATATGCGGTTTGGCTACACATTTAATTTTCGTCTCAGTTTCCTTCAAGTTTTGCTTATTCACAAGACATGTGTCGAGATGATGAAAAACTAAAAAAATAGAGCTCTTTTAAAATCGGCAAGAAAATTGAAGACGCTCCACTGATGACAGTCAGCTTCATCTTCTTAGCGCCGGCGTGTGACGTAATGGATCTTTTTCTTCCTGCGAACAACCTGACGATGCATCCGAGATGCGCACTCAATTCGAACACTCGAATAGCCCAAAAAATTCCTTCTGTTCAAAAAGGTACAACCGCAATAGCAGGATTTAATTTATTAACTTTCCGAGCATCTAAATTTTTTGCTCTTGATTTATTCTTAGTAATGGTTTACCGTTCACGAGGAGTAGTTTCGTTAGAAATGAACCATTGGGTCGGTAGGAAATTTTAGGTTTATGGTTTAGGTTTTAGGTTTATGGAAATTTTTCATAAAGCCTAGATTTGCTTCATTCCATTTCACTAAATTATTGCGTGATTTCAAAACCGGCATTCACCCCGTTCCCTTTTTATTAATTTGTTAAGGAAATCATTTCGCGTATATAAGATAAAATGCGCTACATTTCAAATAGTTTGCCATTCTCTTATGAAATTTAGCATGCTAAAAAATCACTTTTAATAGAGTTTATATATAATTGAGCTTTTCTCAATCGATTAAAAATTTTCCACGTCCCACTTAGTGTATGATGGTTACCAGTTAACCAACATATATCATAGTATAAGATGCGTTCGAAACTCTAATTCGTTCCTTAAAAATATTTGTTTAACTGTGTCACGTCTTTCCTTGCACGTTAAAAATTCTGTTTGAATCAGACCGAGATATTAGACTCAAAGTTTGTGGCTATTTTCGTGCTAATTGCAGTAGAATTGGTTGTAGCGGAAAATTTCGGTTGGCCTTTTGGAGGAAACACGAACTTTCCGAAATTCTTCAAATAAATATAATATCTAAGTATAATTTAAGAATAATATAGATATTATCACAAGTCGTTGGACAGAGGAGCATCACTCATGTTGTTAAAGTAATTTCCTTAATTTGCAGAAAGATCTGTTAGAGCAGAATATATTTCAGTACGCCCTACAATAATTAATTTTCTATGTTCAGGAGAAAACGAACATTCATTTGTAGACTAAAATATTTTTGATATTTTCGTTCATGAATAAAGGCAGACACTATAACGACCAAACGTGTTGCAGACGTCCATGACCACCTGATAAATTAAAAAGCCTATACCTATTTCCAAACAAAATTAAAAAAATGTTGTTAATAAGTTATATTTTCATTTCAAGTGTGACAGTTCGGACAATGAAGACACACCAGCCCATGTCTTCTCCATGGGCCGAGTCGCGTCTCTCTCCGATCCACTGTCCTGCTTTGGTGGAACTCCTGCTGGGGGCTTGCCTTCAGTCAACAACCACGAGAACGTCAACGGCACGACATCTTCTATGGTAGGAGGAAGTTTTGCCGGCATCGTCTCCGTGAGAGGATCTGACCTCCTGCATCAGGTGCTCATCGCTCGGACGAGAAAGCATCGCATGCACCAGTACACTCAGGTAAGTAGCATTCCTTACTCTACTGTTACTTTTATGTGGTGCTTCACTGAAGGCTAGGAATATTCTTTGATTTTATATTAATCTTATTAACTTATATAAATTCTGCCTAATTCTACGCTGTGAGGAAATGAGGAGGGCAAAAATGTGATCCTACGTCTAATTATGCTCAATTGTTAGCATTTTTTGCATTAATTTTTATTGATATTTAAATTGACTGTAGGATTTCATAATTTATTCCTATCGGTGACCTTTTGAAGTTTAGTATGGTTATGATTTTCTGAACACTTTTTAAACGACGGAATTTTTGTCAACGAACAGTCGGGTGAGAATGGACTCAGTTTTTGAATTGGATTATTAGCATGCAAGCCCATTGGTTAAACCTAAGCTTGACAGACGAGTGAATGTGTCAAATTTACAAGAATTCTCCCAACAAGTTATTTTGGTTTGGATTGGTTTATGCGTCTTTTACACATAAAAACATCATTATGAGGATGGATTATAAGGTTTATAAAGGAGCCCCAAATCATCATTATAAGGATCTTCTAAACATCTTTCACGCAGCCTCGAATAATGGACGTCGTTTTTAGCACCACCGCCCAAATAAATCCTTTTTCACGATGTTAAATTCAGTGTTAGCCTCAGCAGTATCCCTCAACTAATCTGATTCGAGCCAATCTTCTTGAATTTTCGGTCAGACGGTAACCATCCACCGGTCGTTCCTCAGAAAAATTGACTAACTGTACTTTATCTCAGCGTTGGCTAAAAAAACTTCAGGTTGTTGGTTTTGTGCCTGGAGTTTTATGGGAAAGCAACGAGTTCAAGTCCTGCTTTATTTGACCTTCAAGCCAAACGTGCACCTGTTGCTGTAGCTCTGTGGTACATCGAACTTTAAAGTGCCATCGCCCGCCTCTCTTCCCCCTAAAGCCATTCTTCTATCTCCAATAATAGTTAAGCTCCAATGTTATCGAACATTTTCTGTGCACTTCATGTTTGTTCTATGATTTTCACTCCGTAATAGACGATCTGTATTTTTATTGTCTGTGTTGAAATGAAAATGTATTACAAGTCCTGCACTGAAAATGTGATTCAGTAAAAAAACTGCCTTAACATCTGCATGAGTAGAAGAGTAATAATCTAAACAACATGCAGTACGAAGGGTTGACAACGATTTATCAAGTAGTGGGAGCTCAGATGAATTTTCGATCAAAAATCAAAATTCTCTTCCAATTTGAAACTGGGAATTGACAATAATCAGAAATTGACCCTCAAGCCCCTTTTCCTTAACATGGTTGCTCTGGATATATCAGGTTGTTCGTTCGCTGAAGAAAGTGTGACGGAAGGCGGTATTTTAAATAACTTTTTGATGGTAACAAAGCGGTAAGATATGAACTCGTTCTCATTGCAACTTTAAACAAAATATTTTTCCAAATCGTTTTAACTGAACATCATCTTGGAAGTAAAAAGAACTAAAGTTTTGAATTATTTTTAGTTTATGTTTTCGTTAATTGCTTACCGGAGACGTGAATGCCTCATTAAACTTAATTATATCAAAGAAGGTTAATGCTGATGAACGATTTAATTATTGCGGACTATGTGTTCTTTGAGGAGAAAATGTCCACGTGGGTAAAGTTGATATTGCAATTGAAACGTATTGCAGGAAGTCTGTTGTCGCTGTCAAATATCCAAAATTTGAATCCTGCGACGACAACGCAAGTCATGACTAAGCGAACTAGAGAAAATAGAAATGTAATTCAATACAAAATTTAACGTAGAAGTAAAAAGAGCAGAAGTAATAATAGCGTGGGAATTTGTGAATCATTTACACAATGTGGACTTGGTCATGTGGTAGAATGTACAATGGACATCCATATTCAGAGCAACTACGTTAAGGAAAAGGGGAGTGAGACTCAATTTCTCTTTCCCAGTTTTAAATTGGAAGAGAATTTTGATTTTTGATCGAATATTCCCCTGAACTCCTACTCTTCTCTCTAATTTTCAGCAGGAAGATATTTTATGGAGAATGCCTCTAATTGTGAATGTAATTAACGTGCGCTGCTGGGAGACTTGCATCCAGTTAGCACAAATATTTTCATTATGAGTTTCTGTGCGTAATTGCCTAATTTTTTTAAACAGAGCTTTTAGATATTGTACCTAATAATGGATCTTTTGTCTGCCTGGGTAAAGTCTGTGCAAAGGTGTCTGGTGTAAAGTTGAACGCCCTCACGAGAATCGCAGGATCAAACGAAACACATAATAAGAGTTCCAGCTAGTACTGGAGACTTTAATTCTTTTCAAATCATTTTAGTGTTTCACTGGTAAAGCAATTTTAATATCGAACCAATGCATTGTGCTGAATGTTGCAAGAAGTTTTTATTGTATCATCAATTTCATTCTATATTGATATATAATTTTAAAAATTTTATCGTTCGAAACATATAGTGAAGATCAGGGTTTGTTCGTTAAAATTAGCATGTATTTCCATTTTCATCGGTCGCCGCCAGATTGTTTCGAAGCGATGCTGCCTGCATACGGAAATTCGTGGGGCTCTCATTGTCATGCTTGCTGTACTAATCAAATTCTTGCCAAAAATAGCGATAAAAAATCGAATTTCTAAGCATCGTGAGCCGTATTACATTAAATTGATCAACTAGAGCGCCAGAAAATTGACTTTTAAGGGAGGGAGAATTTAAACGATGATCTTCTAATGCACTGCCTTCAATTTATGACAATTTTCTTAATTAATTCGAATCAAACCAAAAAAATTAACATTGCCAAAAAAATCACAATAACACAGCAAAATATAATTTCTTCCCATCTTGTAGTACGTAACCAGGTCGTTAATATGAATGCTCGTGGTACTAAAAACAAAAGAAATATAATGTTTTAACCGCGGTTGCTTTGACAGTTCATCCATGGTCTTTTTCTGTCCGAATATCACTGAGGTAGATATACTTTATCAAACAGCATTTACTACACCGTTGATTCACGAACACACGTTTGTCTGCAAAAACAATAATCCACAATAAAAACAATAAGCAATAACAATGACCTGCAACAGAACACGCAGTTCAGGATAGATTCTCCAGTGAAGTCAGTTGACGATGCTGCACCGTTAGACAAGTAGTCAGTTGACGATGCTGCACCGTTAGACAAGTAGTCAGTTGGTGATGCTGCACCGTTAGGCAAGTAGTCAGTTGGTGATGCTGCACCGTTTTTAGACAAGTAGTCAGTTGACGATGCTGCACCGTTAGACAAGTAGTTCACATCGTGTGCAGCGTTCTCTTGCTATCGCTACGGTAAAATGAAGCCGCTTGACAACGAAATACATAGGGTGACGGCTAAGATAGTTAATTCTTCGAAGCCTTCTTCCATCGTTTATTGCGCAATAATTATAAAGCTGTCACCAACAGCTAAACTTTTAAGCCGAAAAGAGAAACTTTTCGACACCTGTTGTTGTGAAATCGCTTTTTGTAGCATTCGCCACACACGGAGCTAAAACATCTCGCGATTAGTTTTTATTAAAAATAGCAATAAGGTCCGACAAACAAGGCAGCAAGCAAAAGCAGTTTCGGACAGTGTTTCTA